GAAAACCTTGATGATGTCAATCTGGCAGGAGGTTTCTGAGAGCTGTAGTTCAAAAAATAATTTTTCCAAGCTCTTGATATTAACAACACCACACAGCTAAAATGTGTGCGCTAATAAATATTTTACTAATTATGATCAAGTTAGCCACCCATGGCAGAGGGGAAACTAACATAGCCAGTCTGCAACAATCTGCCAGTTACAGATATTAATATTACTGGTGAAAGATCCTGTGGGTTTTTCTTGAAATAATATTAAATGAGGATGTGTTCCAGCAATGAAAGAATGTGAGGATATGGGGCAGAGTAGTCCTCATGGGATGTTTTTATCCCATGTAGTTCTCCATGCCCCCAGAATATTAGGTTCTCAGACAGGCACCTATCATTTAAAGCAATTCCAAGTTTTCATTTTGGAACTTCAGAATTATCTCAAGAGGTATCAGAAGAAATACAAAAAGAAAATAAGTGTAGTGTGGTGCCAAAAAATGTGAGCTGTGGACTTCTGTGTTCACTTTCAACTTGTGATCCAAACAGCTAAGGATATCACACTCTCATTTGGGGAGTAAAGTACCTCCCCCGCCCCATTCAGGCCACTGCTGCCCTATTTCAAACCTTACCTTTCTCATAATTTAATCACCAGCACCCAAGTCACAGCACCCTCAGTTTCCCAACCTGCCCTTTAATGTAAGGGAAACCATGACTGTTCTTTTTGTTAATCTCAATTAGAGTAGACTCATTCAATGAATTGTTCAATAGTGAGTCAACACTTAAATCCACTACTCTACTCTAGGACCAAAAGAGAATTTATGCCTACATGTATCCTATGTGAGCTAACTGCCTTACATAGTTGAATATTTGTGAGCACTTAAAATGTCACATAAATGCTCAGCCAACATGGTGTAGAGGTTTGAGCATTGCGCTATGACTCTGGAGACTAGAGTTGAAATCCCCATTCAGCCATGAAAACCCATTGGGTAACCTTGGGCAAGTCACACTTTCAGTTTCAGATGAAGGCACAGGCAAGCCCCCTCTCACCAAATCTTACACTAGCTGCTGTCACACCGCAGAACTAATGCAGTTTAATACTGCTTTAACTGCCATGGCTCCACCTATGGAATCCTGGGATTTGTCATTTGTTGTGGCACCAGAGCTCTGAGAGACAAAGCTAAATATTTCACAAAATGATAAATCCTAGTTATAGCAGTTAAGGCAGTGTAGATGCAGCCCAAGAAAACCCTCTGATAGGTTTGCCTTAGGTTTTTAAAACATTGGCTGGCATCCTGTGGACCCACATTACATGAATGTGTAACTTATGCATTTGTAAATGCTTGGTAGTCATGTTTATGATCATGGCACTATTGCCACAATTTCAAATGTCCCTTCCAAACCTACTTTAACAGCCAGCAGCTATACTGGGCAATGGAAGTCTGTTCTGTGGGTGATCACAGCACTGCAGGAAGATATTTCCAGCCCTCCCCCCAATTGTAATGTGACAATCAGAAGCAGGATCATTGTTGCAACTCCTTATTGCACAACAGATCATTGCCTGGGAGGGGGCTGAAGCACCTAATCACCAGTCGGACAAATCTCCATTGCTTGGCATGGCTGTTAAGGTAGGCTTAGAATGCTGGGTCAGGAGAGTTAGGCATTCATAACTATGGGCCTTTGCAGACTGCCAGAAATAGTGCAAATTGAGTCCACTTTAAGGGTTAGGATTAGGGTTAGGGAATCATGGGAACTGTATTTTATTGTGGCACCAGAGCTTTCTGACAGAGAAGGCTCAATGTCTCAGAAAAAAACAACAACAAAAATTCCCATGACTCCCTAGCACTAACCCTAACCCTTAAAGTGGACTCAATTTGCACTATTTCTGGCAGTCTGCAAATGTCTGTGATTTAAGATCTTGGTCAATGTTTATATGCCCTTTGCGTGTCCTCTTAAACCCCATAACAACCCATATATTTTTCTTACTATCAATGTTTCACTTGCCTCCTTTTCACATGACTGTTTTGAGAGTGTTATCTACCAGTTCTTACTCCCTGTTTTCTAGGGAAATCAATGGGTCGCAATTTCTTTTCAGTTCATTCTAAATATCAGGTGGTGGTGGTGGTGGCGGCGGTAAGGGAAGAGGAATCATAGAATCATAGAGTTGGAAGAGACCACAAGGGCCAT